TCGGCTACTCGGCGAGTCCATAGGTTGGGACTCGGCGAGTCTGCCAGTCTGGATGAAACCCTAACTTTAAGGGTTTGCACTCTATTTAAGCATCATTATAGCCTCCTACCCCAGCCTCCAGCACTCTTAGATCATCTTATCTGAAAACCCTAAACCCTCCATTTCTAAGTTGAGTGTTTTGTGCCATTTTGAGGATTTAGAAGAGAAAGAAAGAAGGAAGATCCAAAGGAGAAGAAGAAGATTCAGAGTCTCTTGACCATCAGCCTCATATTCTGGTACTAAAGCTTGTACCTTGCTTATTATTTCCATTTGATAGTATTGTATGCTTAGATGTGTTTCTTTTGGGACTTTTTGGATCCAAACTCGAGAGTGGGACTTCTATAAGGAAATGGATCATAGATCTGAGTATATTTGAGTTGTAGGAGCTCAAAGTAGTTGCCTTTATGCACTCAAGGACGAGTTCCAAACCCTATGACCCCATTCTTAGCCTATTTTGATGTTTTAGCCTCATTTCTTCATGCATGCACGTAAAGTTGGAAACTTTACGTGTAAAACCAACCCTAATAACCCAGATCTATGAATTGAATGCACTGGAATCGACCAGAACGGACTAAATAGTGATGACATGCAAGGGACTCGACGAGTTGTTCATCAGACTCGACGAGTCGAGTCGCGAGTCCCCGATTTTTCCCCTTTTGAGTTATTACGAGTGGAATCAGTGAGTAGGAGGTGGACTCAGTGAGTTGGGTTACAGACTCAGTAATGGAGGGACTCGGCGAGTCAACGCCCTGACTCGGCGAGTCCAAGGCAATCTTCTTGCCTCAAGAACAGACTCGACGAGTTGTTCATACAACTCGGCGAGTCGTAGACTGGACATGCATAGCATGAAGGAGGACTCGACGAGTTGTTCATACAACTCGACGAGTCAGATGAAGACGGACTTAGTGTTTGTGTCGAGTAAGAACTCGTCGAGTCGGTGCTAAAACTCGGCGAGTAGAAACGTATAGAGATTTGAGGAAAGGATAGGGACTCGGCGAGTTGGCGAACCAACTCGACGAGTCGAGTCAACTGGCAGTTGACTTTGACCAGGAAGTTGACTTTGACCAGGAAGTTGACTTTGACCAGGGGTAAAATAGTTATTTCGCCCTCAGTTAAGTATTTGATTGAGTATATTTATGGGAATTGTAGCCGGGAGGGATACCGGAGCAGCAGCAGACAGTTCCCGAGTAGCTTCTTCAGCAACCAGCTTACGAGGTGAGTTTCCTTTCAGTAGGAACGGGTCTACGGCCACAATGCCGGCCCGTGTAGTTAACAGTAGTTCTGGACGTCGGTCCGATGCAGTAGTTTAGTGTGCTTGAGGTTTTTGTGATTCAAGCATGTGTTTGTGTTATATGTTCCGGACTTCGGTACGATGCAGTAAGCAGTATATGTGTTTAAGCCAGTAGTTGTGATTATGCTATGTTATGATCAGTCAGTTTCCGGACTTCGGTCCGATGTAGAGGGCACGGCCCTGGTTAGTTCCGGACTTCGGTCCGATGCAGTTTTCGGACTTCGGTCCGATGCAGAGGGCACGGCCCTGGTTAGTTCCGGACTTCGGTCCGATGCAGTTTCCGGACTTCGGTCCGATGCAGAGGGCAAGGCCCTGGTTAGTTCCGGACTTCGGTCTGATGCAGTTTCCGGACTTCGGTCCGATGCAGTGGGCAAGGCCCAGTAGTTGTTTTATATGTTATTGTATGGTATGTGGTAGTTTGGGGGAACTCACTAAGCTTTGTGCTTACAGTTTCAATTTTGGTTTCAAGTACTTCCGCTAGCAAGGGGAAGAGCTCGGGATGATGGCATGGCACACACCACAGCTTCAGTTTAGCCTGGGAGTTCACTCTGATAGTTTGATATGATTTGACACATTTTCTGATTTGATACATGGTTTATAACTTTTGAGATACATGTTCCATGGTTTTTATGATATGACATTGATGTTGTGATTTTTAGTAATGTTGAAACAAAAAATTTTGGGTCATGTTTTTGGGTCGTTTCACGAACTCTTGGATCATCTAATCTATAATACCCACAACAAAAGATGGCCAATTCCCTTCTTCCCCAAGGCCCTAAGCCTTATGATAACTGATGATCGGGTCACATCCCCGAATAATGAAGCGATCCGAAACCGAGTGTTACAGAATAAGGGGTCAAATCGTGGTGGTGGTCCGAGCGGACAGGAAAACTGTCAAAATCACCATGTAGCTCCCTTGAATGCCCCATATAACTAAACCCAATTAGGAGGTAATGTGGCGATAACTATGCCTCTGGATATCAGACGTCGATAAGCAGTAAGTATCCTGGTGGGCATGAACAAGTGGTTGTGACTTTAAACAAGGGTGTTTATATCAATAAAGAAAACTTGAAGGTCGAGCGCGATAAAAAAACACAAAAAATATATTGTTGAGTTCACTTATGATACCTATGTTGTTGAAAAGTAAATTTTTTATTCTTACATATATAAAATCATAACCATTGCAAACATTTTATGTTTGAACTTTTGGTCAACATCTTTCCAGTTATGAATCTTTGTAAATATTTAGTGTGTTTTATGCTGTATGAATTGAGTGATCATATGTGGTTTTATGTTGTTCTCATGGTAGAATTGTCCTTTATTCACATGATCTAAAAGATTTTGGGTATACATACCATTTTTTGACTAACAATAATGAACGTTTTTGCATATATTCATGGGTTTTTCAATTTAATTTTTGTCCTTGTAGATGAAAGAAGTAAAGCATACTATATTTATCTGCTTATTTGAACAATGATCTATGTATTCTGTTATCATTTCCAGTTGTTCAATCCATTGTGATTTGGTCCCTTCTTATGGAGAGATCTTTGTCATAAAAAAGAGCTCACATGCCTTATTTTGCAGATCAAAGAGCGAATTAATTCCCCATTCATACGAAATAGTATTTTAGTATAAAACAAAGGCATTGTGGACGACTACTATTACTAAATATGCATCTAATGCAATGTCTTGAAAGCAAGCTACAATGACCATATTCCGAAGTTATAATAATTTATTGATCAAAGGCTATAGAGGGGCTGCTCTACATTCAGCTACATCAAGGGGCAGATCTTTACCAACTTTTTAATCTACTATTTTAAGGAAACCAAAAAACTTGATCGCCTACCTCGAACCTGAAAAGGTCTTTACTAAAAACATAGAAGGTAAGATCGGGTTTTGAGCTATATTGTTGTCACACAAGATAAGCACATTAGTCGCTTGCTAGTCATGCAAATCTAAGTTCTCTTCCATATAACTTTCCGCCCAGTCAAGTGCCAAAAAACACAATAAAATCACACAATGGACACTGTTGTTGTGATTCTGGATCGCGTGGAAAGAAATAAGAGCGGGAAGGTTAAGTTTAGATAGAGGGCTCCACAATCCACATAAAGCCTGCGATTTTTATGGGAGCCATAATCTAGAGTTTACTCTAGCAATGTCACGTCCCTCTAATATAACATTGCCATCTTATGACTTGCTTTTTCCCATATGCCTCTTGGCAAGATCTTAAGCAACGACCTTTTGTCTCCTCTTAACATGAGAAGAAACAAATTTGCCAATGACTCTTGACATCATGTCTAAATCTTCCTTTATTATGAGAAGAAACAAAATTGTCACGACCTTAGACAATTCTAAGTCAACTGTGCGGTACTTAGTTCTTCAACACCCTTTATTGGTTGCTAATTTAGTCTAACCCGAATAGTGAGCTAAAAGAAACAACGCAATAAGACCGAAAGCACACAAGAGAGAGTTAGGGGGAATATAAAGAACATGTATTGCACTACAGAGAAGCTTACAAATGTTTGTATGGTTTGGCCAAATAAAGGCCTCACATATTTAGACACCTCCACATCCTCAATGGACGATTAAGATCATTTCGATCTAACAACTACAATTGTGTATCTAAGGGTGTTCTATATAAAGATCTAGAAATTTACTAGGCTCCAAACACTTATAGAGAATTATATACAAGTATAGATCAAACTAGAAAAGTATGGAATAATCTGTAATGGATGTGATGCAGACGTCTATGCCAACTTGGGTGTCAAGTAAACGCCTGACAAAGCCTCATTTTAGCAATCCAGAACATTTTGTTTACTTGCCTCACTCATATGTGATATTTAAAGAAAGCATTCAGCTCATCAGATATTAAATTTAAAAATACGTATGTTCATTATTATTTAATGATAAAAAAAAACAAGATACATCATGAATAAAAATACACATCCATATAGATAACTTAGGAGGCAAGTATGCAACTAGAGTCGATGAAAGGACCCGTAAGTAAGGAAAATTACTTGAATCTAATGAATAAGAATAAGATATAGTAATGTTTGTATTTCAAATAAATAATAAAATTATCAATTTAATGTTAGTACTTTTGTTGATATACATTAACATTAAGACTTTTTTTTTACTTAGTCTTATACTTTTAAACATATTTATCATAAAAAAAATTAGAATTTAACGAATTAGAGTAATATACAACCAAATTGTTATTTGTAACTTATTACTTATATGGATGTCGAAAATTAATAAATCCAATAATTGTTAACATGTTTACGTGATCATCTTTCTCTTTCCTTCGTTTAGATAAATTACAATGGTAATAATAAGATGTAACAAGCTAAATTAGAAAATTGGGCTATATATCGATGCACAACGTACAAACACTCGAAGCATACATTTAGGGGAAAGTACACGTGGCAGGTTAATAGATGGGTAGCATGGAAAACTATGATGTGAACGGTAGCACTAGAACGGAACCACGACATTCTTTCCACGTGCTTCCTTCCTCCCGCCTAAAATCCGTTATTGCGAATGCACACTCTCACTCTCAAATCTCACTTTGTATGTGAGATCTTCCTCTTCACACACACAGATACATAAGCAAACGACCGCCATTAACAACTCTCTGTTCGTTTTCATATCTGCAACTAACACAGAGAAAATGTTCTACTCTCACCAACTCCTTGCTCGCAAAGCTCCTCTCGGACAAATCTGGTATCGAATCGATAGTAATAATCCCCTACGTGTGTTTTCGATTAAGTGAAGCTTAATTTAGTTTATTGATTCGAGGTTGAATGAACTTTTAGATTCTCATAGTGGAGTAATTGCAGGGATTTGATTGAATCTCGTCATTAATTTTATTTCATTCTCGTTTTTTTGGTTTATTAAGGATGGCGGCAACAATGCATGCGAAAATCAATAGGAGGAAGCTCGACAAGCTTAACATCATCAACATCTGGTATTGATTCACTTAATTTTGTACCTAATTAATAACATCAGTTATTTTTCGTTTTTCAGTTCGCTTTAGTTGATGATCTCACTGATTGAATTGCAGTGAAGAAATTTTGAATCCATCAGTTCCAATGGCTCTCAGATTATCTGGAATTCTCATGGGTAAATTGGTTAAACAATTTATTCGACATTTTTGTTGTTGACATTGATTTTTCTCAAATTGCTTTTCGTAATTCTCAGGTGGAGTCGTTATTGTCTACGAGCGCAAAGTAAAACTTCTCTATGGTAATCTCTTCGATTTGATTCATTCATTGCTTGAATTATGTGTTGCTAGAAAATGCGATTGTTCTTAAACTCCAATTCTTTTTATTTACAGAGGATGTGACTCGTTTTCTGGTACACTCTCAGTTCCGTTTGTCTACATTCCCGCTTTGCTTTTCCATGTACTTGATGAAAATTGAAAGAGATGAATTACCCAGGTGGAAATCAATGAAGCATGGAAGGTTAAAACTGTTCGAGATCCTACCATACTTCCTAAGGGCAAGTCTCATGCCAAGTAAGTCGTAATTTCCGTTCACACATTGATGATTGGTTTTTTTTAATTTCATAGTTTTGATTTCCATTTATTGTTACATTATGTAGATATGAAGATGTCACACTCCCTGATAACATACCCACAGACCTAGGAGAAATTGAGCAACCTCTTCAGTTTTCTAACTCAGAAACACAAAGAGGGTTTCATAGAAGTGCTTATACTGAAATGGTAATATGTCCAATAGAGTGATAAAAATGACTATCTCCCTTAACGTTCTATTCTACATCAAAGTTCAAAAAACAGATTTATTCCTTTTCTTTTGTGCAGAAACTTGACAGCATAAATGAAGCCTACATCAGCCACAACCAGGGCAAGAAAGATATCCCTCAGGATCATCATCAAGGTCTTTTAACTTCATCGAAATTTATCATAGATTATCAGATTTCTCAAACCTTTACTGACGAATTTATATGTGATCTCAGCTAATATCGATGATATCACAATGTGTGACAAATTTGATTCACACCAGACTGAAGCAGGTCTCTTCAATCTTTTTGAGAGGTAGGTTACTTGGTTTTGATGCTAAGTGAACTTTCTACATAGAAAAATGAGCATACCTTAATCGGTAAATTTAACTTTAACATTCTTATGTGCAGGTTTGACATCGATGGGGAAGAAGAAACACAAGTGAATTCAGCTTTCCATGATCATACTGACATACCAGATACTCTTGTCCCCTCTCCACCTCCACAAGAAGAACCTCAAATTCAAAACCGTAAGTATCAGTTTATCGTCTCAATTGTAGTCATGTGTAAGAAAAGTTACTGACCTTTATGTTTTGTAGCTGATGAGATCCATGAGCAACATCCAGGAGAATTTCCCAATCCCCAAGTTTCTGATGAAGATAAGGTAAAATATTCATTCAGTAATTCACTTCCACAATAGTAACATTTAAACATATGAGTTGGTTTAAATGATAATTAAATGTTGTAGGCACAGTACAACAGTCCACACAACAGTCCACAGAGGCGAAAACCAACTAGAAGAACTACAAGAAGAGTCACAACTACTTTAATGGATCATGGACAAACTATAATTCCTGGACCAATGTATCAGTTTTGGCTTCAGAATACTTCTGATATTGTCTCAAGAAGAGGACAGAAGAGAAAAGTATGTTTTTCACCCATGTACATTTTCTTCTGATCTTTATATAAACTGCAAATTGCGTAGAATAGGAACATACTTTACACTATCATGTTTTTTTTTTTTTAATAATTGACTACTGCATCTGAATATCAATACAGCTCATGCGCAATAACACACACTCTGTAAAGATAGCCAGACTCATGGATCTACCACCAGTTTCTCTTGTTTGTGGCTTGGTTGGAAACACGGATATTTATTATCCTCTTCCAATATTAAAACTATGGACAAAAAGCATTCAACCTTTGCATGATTCTCCTTCTGGTATGAGTTCTCTTTTAACATACTTCTAGTATGAGTATGAGAAGTTACAGTGTGGGAGGATTGGGCTCTAGGCACAGTTTGGTAGTTTTGGGAAATGACAGTGTGGACCAGCTTAGGGGTTATTTGCTTTTACAGAATTATAATTATGATATTTTGTTAATTATTACAATGATAATGAATATAAGAATTTCATCTATTGGATTTAGGGAACAACTCGCCACCTCATCCACCAGCACCATCATCATCATCACCCCCAGAAAGAAACAATTATCATGACCCAATAAGCCCTGTAAGCCTAATCATTTAACAGTTTTCATTCATTTAATCAATAAATATATAATTAACATAAATTTTCTTATGATGAACATGAACCTCTAGCCTTTTGAAGATAACCATGGTGAAGTTGGATCTGGATCATTGGGGGTATCCATAGAGAATATAAGGGTAAATATTATGGATAACAATGAGGTGATGCCTCCTTCAATCCCCATGGAAAAGTCAACAACCAACCATGTCAACAGTGGAGTAAGTGTATCCGCAGTCAACAGGGGGACAGTTACACCTTCAAATTCTGGTATATTTATATAATGGACATTTTCTTTATAATTCGTAATTTTATACTATCATTTTTTTCCTATTAGTACAGAATGAGGCATAAAAATGTTGTATACATAAACTATGTTTCTTTTCTGGACTAGATAAATAGTTTGAAGGAAAGACTAAATGACCATTTTACTCTTTATATTCCATAAAACAAATTTCACAAAATCAATCAAGTTTAACAATTTTCATCAACTTTAACTTCAAATAGGCAAATAGGTAAAAGATTGGTGTCTTAATGCATTAAGCTAGTTTTTTTTTTGGCTTAACCCAATAAGTCATTTCTGTCCAGATTAAGTCAAAAAGAAACATCAGATGTCAACAACAGGTGCTTAAACCTTTAATCTTTTTTTATTATTATTTTAACAACAGGTGACGATGTTAGATCCATGCCAAGTGCAGAAGTTGCACCACATGGCTCAGATGTCAACTCTGGAAGGTTAGTGACGTAAGCATGGTTTAAATTAAGTAGAGTTAGAGATAGAGAGCCACAAGTCAAGTGTGAGGTTTGAACTTTGACGTTTGAGTTTTTCAGGTCAAACAAGAAGAGACTTTTCTCATCAACTAGACGAAGTGGGAGTAACCTTGAACCAGTTGTAGAGGAGCTCTATGGGAATTACTCTGATCCAATTTTCAAGCTATCTGAACTATCAGAAAACCAAAATGGTAAATACGGAGTATATAACTATTTTTAAAATGTCTCCTCACTATTTTTACACCTAATCTGTTTACTTTCATCAGATCTGGTGGTAGAAACTGGAACAGGACCAACACAAACACAAAAAGACCCGATAGCTGATCAACCAGTGGAGCAGTTAACTGATTCTATCCGAATGTAATGAACACTATATATATTATGTTTTTTTTTAATAGTATATAGAGTAAATGAAAATATGTCTGTTTTTGATATGTGTATGTAGGCAACTGAAGATGCATTTTGATGCACCAGGGTCTCCTCAAACGGAATCACTTAACCAGCTTGCATTGGGATTGAACAGGAAAGCGGCTGCTGGTTTATTTTATCAGACTTGTGGTATTTTAATTTTCTTCCTAATCATATATACTTTTTTTTAATTTATATATTTTTTTAAATATATATGTAATATATATATATATATATAAATTATGAAACATGCATACAGTTATGGCGACCCGTTGTTTCATAAGGGTGGAACAGAGAGTTGCTTATGGAGACATTCTAATTTCTAGGGGTGCCAAGATGTGAGAGATAGAATTAGAAAGAGACTTGGAAGAATTTATGCTGTTGTTATGTTTCGTTTTATTATATATAGTTTAACAATATACTTTAAGTTGCACTAAAGATATAAAAAAAGCCTTAGGATAAATTCTAGTTTATGAGGACTATATGTATCTGCAAAGATATATGTGCTGCTTTTTTGAATATATATATCTTTGCCCAGCTATTATAAGGACCCTTTTTACTACATAATGTGTAGTATATTTTTTTGTTAGTTGACCTACTTAATTAGATAAATGTTTACATGTTCCTACCAAAACTTATACCGTTGGCATGGGCTATATTCAACTTTATAAGTTATTAATAATATGAAATTTATGTACCAATATATTTTCTTTCTGTTTTTAAATATACATTTTTATCTATAAAGAAATGTATGCAACATATCAATATTGCTTGAGTGAATCATATCCAATGTTGTAGATTGATTTAATAGTTTTAACCTTAAAATACATAGTCTATATTCTATACTCACAAACAAATGTTTTAATTTAATCCACATTAATTATTAATGCTTATGGAAAATATATTTAACTTTTTCAAATTAATGCTAGACATGCTTTTTTGGCATCGATATAAAGTCACTCATTTAATCATTTTATCATCATATTAATAGAAAAATGAGAACCGAAATTAACTTGATACCAAAAATCTTATAATAAAAATAACAAGATACACGAAAAAATGATTGTATATTTGGACAGAGTTCAATGGACCTCCAAAACGTCCGTGCTTTTATACTGCATTACATTGTTCTCTCTCTCTCGTATTCTTTTTCTTTGTTTTGTGTTAGCTAGTTTCTTCCATAGATGTTCAAAAAAAAATTATACATGACTTGCAAGATTCTTTAGTAATTACAAGTGAAACTCTCTGATATTCTCGATCTTTTGCTCTAAAGTATTAAGCATTGTGTCAACCGTAACAATTCGCATCAATAGACAAATCAACCAACCTTGATTGAGGCCTGGGGTGTTTGAGTTTTCAAATTTGCAAACTTTAAAATATGAGAATGTATCGTGTTTCCTTTATTATTATTATTATTTTTTTTAATTCATTAACAAAAATTGTTGTGCTAACAAATCCAAAGATGAGATAACCAATCTAAAAGGTTAAAAAGGTAATCGTAAATTTAAATCATTTGCACTATGAAATCGTTAGATTAAGTGATTAACTAACACAAATAAAATTATATTGTGTACTATAAAGGATTTGAAGAGAACTATAATTTGTATTATAAAAAAGAATCATTTTCTGAGCTTGTTAGTTATTTGTTATAAAACCAAGATGAAGGCTGGTTGATTTATATGTTGTTACGTTACGTGTTAATTAGAGAAGACGCAATGCCTTACGCTTTAGATCAAAAAACCAGAAATGACTTTGTTTATTCGAAAACTAGGTGTGAGACCCGTGTACTACACGAGTTTATTAAAAATAAAAATTTAATATCAATAATTAAACATTAAATATTTTATAAATTAATATTTTTACATAACATAATGTAATCTTTTGGAACATTTATAAAATAAATCAAATATTCTTTAGAACATTTATGAGACTTTATTATTAAATTAATAGAATGATTCTCTTTCCTTATAAAACTCATTAGAATTTTGTAGAATTTTATTTTTAAAAATAAAAATTCCCAAAAAAGTGATAACTGAAAAATAATAGTTCTAAAACTCCCACAAAATTACATGCGACAAAACTCTTAAAATTTGACGAATGAAAAAAAAATAAAAAAAATAGAAAAATAAAAACATTCATGCACGATCCCTTTATTTTTAGGCCCACTTAGCCTAGTCTAATATCATTTTTAGGTTAGCCTAGCCCAGCAGCCCAAATTGGATGAAAACCGAAGGAACAGCAAGGCACATCGATTGATCACGGTGCCTTTGGCTTCGACGTCTAACCTCTCTCATCTCTCCCAGCTTTGGACTGCATCAAACGAACAACACACAGAGCAGCGAAATCGGAAATGGTGAGAGACGAAAATGAAAATCCAGTTTCAGAAGTAGATGAAGACGAGGAAGAATTATCAAATGGAGAGGACGAGGAAGAAGAAGATTTTGATGAGGATGAAGATGAGGAAGACGAGGAAGAAGAAGAACCACCAGTAACATCGGAATCTAGAATGCGAGCCGAAAGAGCAAGAATGGAAGGAGTCTTTCATCGGATTTCTTCTGAGAGAGTTCCATTGAGAGTCCATGATGTGTTGATCAAAGGAAACATGAAGACTAAAGAATCGTTAATCGAAGCTGAAATCGGAGCCCTAAAAACCGCCACGTCAGTCCAAGAGCTGCTTCAGGCGGCGACGATAGCGAATGCCAGGCTTCAGAAGCTTGATATATTTGATTCCGTAAATATCACGCTTGATTCAGGACCGCCTGAATTGCCTGGGACTTCTAATGTGATTGTTGAAGTTGTTGAGTCCAAAAACCCTCTCACTGGTGATATTGGCATTTTCACGAAGCCTGAGGTACTAGTTTCCGTTTATTTTCCGACTTTGCAGTTATATAATAATACTGTGTGTTGTAATATATTGATCATTTTGTTGATGATAAGTGTTTTTGATTGCTATCTATGTTTCTACTATCATTTACAGTTCATATCGTGTGACATTCAGTCATTTATGATACTAATTTTGATCATCAAGGTTTTCAATATTGAGTTACCTTTGTAGGATGAAGTATTCGTTCATGAGGCCAAGGGCCAAGGGTTTTTTCTTCTGTTAAAGATGCATTTCATTTCTAATATAGTAATATAACATATTTCATCACTTGCTTGATCTGTAGGCTAGATCTTGGTCACTTGAAGGATCACTTAAACTCAAAAACTTATTTGGATATGGAGATTTGTGGGATGGTTCTTTATCTTATGGGTGGGACCAAACATCAGAAGCTAGTGTTGGCATCTCTTTGCCAAGATTCATGAGATTGTTCACTCCTGTTATGGCTCGAGTATCCCTTCTTTCTCAAGATTGGCTCAAATTTTCCTCTTATAAGGAGCAAGCACTAGGCCTATCTCTTGGCCTACTTTCAACCAAGAACCATGATTTAGCATATAATCTTTCTTGGCGCACGTTGACTGACCCATCACAAATGGCTTCTGAGTCAATAAGAAGGCAACTTGGACACGGTTTACTATCACATTTGAAGTATACTTTTAAGATTGATAAGAGGAACTCACCTCTTAGACCCACTAGAGGGTTTGCTTTTGTTTCTTCTTCTCAACTTGGAGGCATTTTTCCAGATTATCGCAGCTTGCGTTTTGTACGCCAGGTATGTCCTCATCGTATTCCAAATTTTCAGTTGTTCTTGACTCGTTTTGCATGTGAAATAAGATGCTTTTACATATAATCAAGATTCCCCGGCTTCATTCCCAGAACAAAAAAAAAGCTATAATCTTAATGTTTGCAACATGTGTATGTGCTAGATACAATCCAATACAAAAGAGTCATACCTCAAAAAGAGACATACCTGCCTGCTGTCGAAAGGATTGTTAGGCCAAAATTAGGGCATTGTTATCCTAATGATTTTAGCTTTGAACTAATTCATTACTTAGATGGAAAGTTTGCATGTTCTAAGGGTCTGTTTCTTTAACTTAATGAGCTTTATTGGTTAAGCACTTAATATGGAAAGCTAATACATTATTATTTTTTCCATCCAACTCCTCTGACGTTAAAGTTGATGATTGTTGTTAAAAATTGTTTGTTGGAATGTAAAGGTAAAATGATTATTTAGTCCCATTCAACGGTTAGGTTTATTCAGTATAGAAAAGAAAAGAAATGTGCATTTTGTATAGTACCACACTTATCCAAACAAACACATTACCGCATTCAGCCACCTTAATGAGAAAAGAAAAAGAAACAATCCGTAAGAATTATGATAGACAGGAAAAGCATCATTGGTGGCTACAGTTTGTAGGTGATAAGCTTGTGAGATAGTCCAACAAAAAGCAACTTAGTATCAACATCAGTCATCAACTGATGAGTTTGAAATATATGTTGTTGTTCTGAAATTGTAAGGGAATTTGGAATGTTAGCTCCCAAAGGCCAAAGTAAGTAGCTCCTGAAATATATTGATTATTATGACATCCTCATGATTTCAGTTTGATCAATCATGTAACTCTACTTTGTCGTACTATATATTGTTAAACAAAATGAATAAACACATGTATTCTGATTATTGTTTAATAGGAATTTGATCTTCGATATGCTTTACCTTTGGGTTTTGCACGTGCTGCTCTCAACTTTGGAGTTGCTGGTGGTGTACTTTTCCCATGGGGAAGTGAATTCCTGAACACACCAACATCATTACCGGATCGATTCTTCTTAGGTGGGAACTCCTCTCCCGTTTGCTCATTGGGAGGGCCCACATCCTTATTGGGCTTCAAAACCAGGGGATTAGGCCCAAGCGAACCAAAACGCCAATTCAAAACAAATTCTGAAACTCCTGAAAGAGATTTTGTTGGTGGAGACCTTGCTGTTACTGGCTTTGCAGACCTTTCTTTTGATCTCCCTCTGAAGGTATTGAGGGATTCTAATATTCATGCACATGCGTTTGCTTGTGCTGGAAGTCTAACCAAATTAACTGAAAATTCATTTCGTGACTTTTCCTTCCAAAAGTACCGCGACTCCTTCCGTAGCTCTGCGGGCTTTGGGCTTATTGTACCAACTAAATTGTTTCGCATGGAGGTTAGTGTTACTCACTTATCAAGGCTGCGTACTTTCAAATTAAGGCATTATATTATACTTTCTTTTTAACTTAATAAGCTTAATGGGTTAAAGTTAAACACTTGACTGATTTGGACAACTAACTATAGTATACTATAATTGACTTGATTTGGACAGGACAGAATGGCTGGCTTAATGGGTTAAAGCCAAAAAAAAAAAAAAAAAAAAAAAAAAAAAAAACTGGCTTAATGTATTAAATAACTAGCCCTTCTTCTTTTTTCCTCTCACATGTTAAAATTGATTAATATTGTGAAGTTTGTTTGTTGGAATGCAAGGATAGAATGGTCATTTATTCTTTATTGGGTGTAGACTCAAGAAAAGAAACAAAAGAAATAGGACCCTCATCTATGTATGTGTATGTGTAACACTTTTTATCCTGACAGACTTCATCATCTATTCAGCTACTTTATCCATACATGACTTAATGGAGAAAAAAAAAACAAAAGAAACTGGCTCTTACCTGAACCTGATTATAGATGAGCTATAATTGGGTTGATTTTTTAAAGTAGGAAGAAATAAAAGTAGGGATGGGAATGGGAATGGGATGATATAATAAACAAAGGGATCAATGAAACTGCATTTCTTCTATCTTTTGTACGAGTATTACTATTAAAGTTGATTGTTTACTACTTTATTTAGGTGAACTACTGCTACATAGTGAGACAACATGAACATGATCGAGCAAAGACTGGTGTCCAGTTTAGCTTTTCTTCACCATTATAGGATTCTCATCCTGGTGTCATCTCAACTTCACAACAAACAAGCCATTAGCCACTCCACCGCTGTCATCAGGTGAAGTGAAGGGTTCTTGTAATTTTGAAAAAAAAAAAAAACTACAGAAAATTAATAATCTCATCTCAGTTATATGACAATTGACATGCTGCTTTGTTTGAATTGTTATATCTCATCTGTTGATGTTGTTAAGAATTTGTTTTGGAATTCTTCGGAGATATGTGAGTGTGAGTGTGTTTCTGGTTGTTTAGAAATTACATGAAAGATAGTGAGTGAAGTTGGAATTATTGGGTGGTGTAATGTGTTGTTGTGTGATGCGATTCGATTCGCAGACGATTAATTTTGATTCAAAGGCAGGGCAAGGCGTTTGATTGATTTGAGATCTTTGGGGGTGTGTGTGGTGTGGGCCCAGCTGTTTGATTGAGAGTGAGTATGAGCGCGTGAAAAACACTCATGAGTCATGGTATATGAATATGAGATTAAAAGGTGATCCAAGTGGGGACACAGCGATCTAACTGATTTGATATTAGCGGACCCTCACCCACCCACCCAGACCCACCCTCACCCTCATCCTGTAGTGTTGTTCTTGGGTTTACCGTTTTACCAAAAAAAAAAAAAAAAAAAAAAAAGCCAAGGTTTATTGGTTTATACCATCGCAAAACGGTTTTTGCATTCAATTTATTTCCTATTTATTTATTTATCTATCTACTATTTTAGCTGGAAATAAATTTGATAAACTGTGTTCTAATGAAAATATCCGTATGAAGATGTCGTTTTACGATTACAACAAGAACTTACATTTCAAATTGAAATTATTATCTTCTATTAAATTTAACTGTGTAATATAAAATTATAAATTATGTTAGTTTTTTTTCAATACAATTTGTATTTTATTTTGTTATTATTAAGTTAGAGAATAAATGATAGTTTTATATAATAATATAATAAAATATATTTATTCATAAAAAACAAATAAATTTATTTTGGACATAATAAGAGTTAATCACAAAACGATTAGAAAAAAGGAAATGTTACATAACAAAATAACACTTTATTTAGTGAATTACTGTAAAATAATAATAATAATAATAATAATAATAATAATAATAATAATAATAATAATAATAATGATTTTATGTAAAAATGTCATACTTTTTTACAAGAAAATGATGTTTTTTCATAGAACATAATTGTTACTTTTGGTAAATAGGAACATTTTGAGAATTCCGCCTAACATTTGAGACATAAGATCAAGTGGCATGGGTCGCCACAACGTCGTTAAGGCTGATGTGGCTGCCTATAACGCCGTGATAACATCAAAAAACATCCCCTCTTTTTTTTTCTTGTTGCTTCTTGTTGTCTCAATAACCGGATGAAACAAGATCATCTATTGGTTGCACAAATTATCTCTCTCTATTTCTCTCCTCTTAACAAGTGTTATAACACCATGAACACAACCCCTCTTCTTGTTGCTTCTTGTTATAACACCACCAAAACGGACTTGCAAAACAAAAGTGGGTTTTAGACGAAACCCATGGGTAGTAATAGTATAATATGTAAAAACAAAAATGTTATTATACAGAAACAATTTATGCGTTATAATGGATAGTATAATATGTAAAAACAAAAATGTTATTGTTGTATGAGGAAAAACTATTGTATGCAAATTAACTCTCATTTGTAAAAACAATAGGCTTCCATAGAAGCCAAGAATGGAATATTATGAAAGCCAAACACTTAATTGACTTTATTGAACCTAGTTTTTTATACATTTAAAAGAAATATTCATATTAGTCAAATCATGATTTCTTTATTTGGCAAAAAATAGATTTCTTTGTGAAAAAAATAAAAATATGTGGAAGATGGTTGTACGGACTATTCAAATTTCAAAACGCGATTTCATAAAAAGTTTATTATACAATACTTTTAGACCAAATAAATTATCATTTTTGTGATATAACCATCCCATTTTTTGTATTTTAGTGATTGACTATAAATAATCAATTAAACAAGACTTATTTATAAACATGAATAGCTTATAAACCAAATCTGTTTATCATTTATTTGTGAGATCAATGATGTGATGTGACTTATTAATAACTGATTTAGATTGTTAATGGTTGTCGCCGGTCACCGTCGCCGTCACCGTGGCGTGAATGATTAAATAGTTGCGAAATCAAATACGGGGCCGTTTCACATCCACCTCGAGAGTCGAGGCCCCAGCCCAAGTGGAGAGAGTAAAGCCCATTATCTCTGTCTTCTTTTTCTTCATTCCACCACTTCCCTTCGAAGTGACAATTTTCTTTTCATTTTTCTAATTCTTCAATAAAATATATAACAACCATAAAACTTCTATTTACATTTATAGATTTTTATGTCATAAGAAAACATGTGGTCGTGATTATGCACTTGATCTTATCAAGACTCAAGAGTTTTGTCGTATGATTGATGATTTTTTATTATGCTTTTCTTATTATTATTTTTTTTAATAATGAATTTATGCGTCTAGGATTTGAATTTTTTGTTCCTTTATTGTGGCTTTCATTATTAGAATTTAGACACATTCAATGTTTTTGCACACTTTGAAAAAACAAGTATATGCTAGGCTCTTGAAAATGATGTAGAATAATGCTGAAACTAGTCAAAAGAATTATACTCAATTTTTCAATTTGCTGTCTTTATTATATCATAAATGATTTGAAATTTTTGTTACAAATTTATGATTAACCGTTCCGTTGTTTCGAATATTATAGCTATATGTCATCTCATATGATGGCAAGGACTAGAAATGAACTTGTGTTACGCTACATCCTTGTTGAGATTTGATATAATCACTTTTTGTGACATGGTTTCCATTTTTGTTACTAAAAAGAAAATGATTTCAAGTCTAAGATATTCAACCTATAATCAACTCTTGATTTCTAACTACCACGTTTGAAAAAACTCATATCACCCTCCTCATATTCAGAAAAAGATATTATTTTTTAACTATTGATTTTATTTAAATTTATGATAAAAGCATATCAACCGGTATTATCTAAGTGATCCGGTAATTATGGCCGATGACATGAGTGGTTCATGTAATCCCTTGGCCTCTTATAAGATATCTATAAGTAAAACTCAATAAAAATATTATGTGGGTGATGATCAAGTTCTTAACTCATGATATATTATAAGATATCAAACAGATAACTTTGACCACCCATGTCATCAATCATATCACATCCAGTTATTACATCACTTAAATGAAACAAATTAACAGACGTTTGTCCAAAATTTGGATAAAACAAATAAATAAAAAATATTATATCTTTGCTTAACAAAAAAAATAATATGGGAGTTTTTTTTTTCCGTATATAGACATGTCACATCAACGTCACATCATTTTCTGTTGTGATCCTTTCATTTCTGGTCTACCCGATGAAATAGCCATCCATTATTTTCTCACATTTTTTAATTTTATTTTTAGTACAAACAAAAAAATTATTTACTAAATAAATATACAAAATTATTAAAAATAAATATAACTTGTTTATAAAAATAAATACAAAAATAATTGTATTCATACTTCTTTGCTATTTTTTTTTACTTTTTGGACATGCATTATTTGATTCATGATTAATTGCAAAATAAATATAATTTTTTGTTCTTATATTTATCATAACAAGTTTATTTTTCATTTTATATATCTCATATGAGATTAAAATATAAAAACAAGTGGGATGTTGATGGTGATTATTGATGTTATAAAAAATGAGTTAGATCGAGTTGTATTATATAAGCGTATGAATAAATAAAATAAGAGAATGAGTGATGTTAAATCTTGCTATAGATGAGACAAAATTTATGGTGATACGGTGAGGAGGCGATGTTCATCATAGTGCATGTAGTTCCATCTCAGGCTCAACACCATACATACTGCGGTGGATATACACCTTATATATTGCCTGAATAAAAATAACTCTTTATATAAATAAATTATTATCAACAGATTTTCGCTATTATTGTGATAAAGTAATAAATGTTAAGGTGAGAGGGAGTAGTGTCACACTTCCTTATTTTGTCACACTTCCACGTAGGTGACACATCAGTATTTACCACAAAATTGTGGTTTCATGCCACACTCATTTTTTTTAAATAATTAAAAATTTTAGTTTTAATTAAAAACAAATTATTTCATTAATTAAAATAAAAACTCATTACATTGCATTAGTTGAAAAAAAAACATCACACTAAAAAAGTCCTAGAAACTTAGAAAAAAAAAAGAGAAATTAAAAAATAAAAAAAAAACAAATGAACTATATGAAGTCGTCCTCCGAGAACTCGTCTTTTTCAGAAGAATCGAACGATAGCATTTTTAAATTTTTTTTAGAGGAAAAGTAATAGAAAGATAAAAAATAAATTATAAGGTTTGAAAAATTTAAATATGAATGGTTAAAGGTTAAAAAGGAAAAAAAAAAGAATTATTTAAAATTAAGACCGGTCAAATTGGTTTGGAAAATGGAGAAAGAAGCACGACTATGGGGTACCGTAGTGTGGCCTCCAGCGCACCCAGACCGCACTGGAGGGGTGGTGTTCGTGATGATGTGGTAGGAGACTACGGTCTCCACCGTAGCCACTCCTTTGAGTCTAATTGTTTAACACCATGGGCTTTTGTATGTTTTAATGTTTTGATTGATTCAATATCTAAATAAGTATAATTAATACTTTAATAGTTTATAATAAAAAGGTTGACATGATCCAAGAGTTGAAAAGGCCCATCCACTTTTCGGTTTCGGTTAATGAGGTAATACTTGCTTAAAAAAGTTTAAACCACCATGTCCCACCACTTTAGATTGTTAAATTGATTATGACAAACAATTATACATATGAACCTAAAAGCAAACAAAATTATTCAAACCACCTCATCATACATTCAGCATAAATCCAAGGACCATTTTTGTGACTCGCACTATTTTCTAACATACACCTTGTTAGTTATATGCTGCGTAGTTCGTGTATTTAATTCTACAAACAACACATGTTATTTGATAAACTAATATTTTATTTAATAATAAATATCTTTATTAAACTAAAATGTATATTTGTTTTGTAAGGGAAAAGATACGAAGATGGTAGTGGTAGTGGTTTTGTTGGGTCCATCAAGTGAATGTAGGTTCCAAAGCAATGCTTGTGTAGGTTTACTTGTTGTGGATGTATTCAACTTTATGTATTGAGGGGTTTCTTCTTTGGTTGAAATCTCTTTTCTTCAATCAATTCAAATATCACAATGTGAATCTACTTTTATTTTTTTATGATGAACAACTATCATGACCTATCTAATCTTATGAGGCCACAATTGTCTCATCCACTCCTTTGTGGAGATGAACCATCATATGTCCCCCTTTAACTCCATCATTCACTAATGCTCTTAAGAAAGAAAATCCATCTTAATAGATTAATTTAGTTTTCATTTCATAAATATGATTCAATTTTAAAAACTAGAAACAAAAATTATTTATATCATGTTAATTCTTTTTATACAAAAACTAATAAAATGATTGATGACTCATTAAAGCAACACTAAATATTTCTTGGGTGGGGAGGGTACATAGATAAAAGCCCCTTCCCATCAAACGCTATATATTTGCAAGAAAGGGGAAGCTAAAGAAAAGGCAATCCCATGAGAGGGCAAGAGCCACGTTCAACATCTTCTTGTGCGGCTTGCAAGTTCATGAAAAGGAGGTGCACCCCTCATTGTCTCTTTGCACCTTATTTTCGAGCCGATGAGCCCAACAAGTTTGCCAAGGTTCACAAGGTCTTCGGTGCAAGCAATGTCACCAAAATCCTAAATGAGGTCCCTGAACCACAACGACATGATGCGGTCAATTCCTTGGTGTTTGAGGCCGAGGAGCGGCTCAAGGACCCGGTGTATGGATGCATTGGCGCGATAGCATCTTTACAGGATAAGATGTTCCAGTTGCAACATGATCTAGCTGTGGCTAAAGCCCGACTAGCTCGATGCTCATCCAAAACATCTTATGCTTCTTGCTCGACTACATCACCATTCTTGATGTTGGATGGTGACTTTGGTATGTCCTCTTTCGGTGATTTCACAATGGATCAAGGTGGGCTAACAAGTGACTTTCACCAACACCCTTTTCCATGACACGACGTCGTTAATTTAGAGACGACGTGATCTACTAGAACTAGAACTTGCAACTTAAGGACTTCTACGAGACTAATATTTCGGTTCGTCAGTTGTCTTTATCTTTTTATCGGTTTGGACTCGGCATAAAAGTTAAAATCCTATGTGAATTCGAAGCAACTGATTTAGGTATTGATGGGTTTTGTTGTAATTATTGATCTTGAAAAAATGCTACAAAGAGATGCTTATTCTTCTTGCTTTTGTGTCCTCCTTTTCTTGTGCTTTGCAAATGCAATTGCGCTCCTCTATGCATAAAGCAACCAACATTTTGGCATGCTTGAATGCAACCATTACTTTTCAAAATTTGTATCAATAATCATTTTCAAAAATTATGATATACGTTCTCTCATTTCCCGATTATTAATTTTATTTTTTTATTGGGATTAAATAGTTTTTAATTTGTATTTTAGTTTTTGTTATTATTATTATTCCCGATGTTAGACTATTTATTTTAGAAATTAGAAGGGATCACAAATGGATTGTTGACATAATTAACGTCCTCGTATCTTTTTTCAACCAATTTATAAAGGTGTACTTGATATGAAGGAATAAAGATGAACTTAAATATATAGAAATTGAAATCACCTAAACCCAAGAAGCCAGAAGGGGATGAGTTTTATTTCAATTCCTGTTTTTCGTTCTTATTTTTATGTTTGCCCCTTTTGTTCTGCTCGATCATTCGTCTTCATTCCATCCTTGTGTAGTTGTTGCTATCTTCTTATTTATTGTTTGAAGTTATATATATATATATATATATATATATATATATATATATATATATATATATCATTGAAAACTATTTTGACTTTTTGAGTTTTAATTAAAACATAAACTACAATTTTTTTGAAAATAATACTTTTAATAGTTTCATAATTGTCTGTAACACTTTTATTTAATTATACCTTAAATAAATTTTAAATGTAAAATAAAGAGTTAATTACATAACTTGTCCCATGCTCTCCCAAATCCGCAGATTTAGTCCAAGGGACCAAGTTGTTACATTTTGGCCCATATTTCGTAGTTTCATTTCACATTTAGTCTCTGCCCGTAACAAACTTGCAAAGATTATGTTACCTCTACTCATGTATAACGCACATAAGGGCAATTTGGTCGTTTCCTCCGTATCTCTCCTAATAACTGATTTTATTTTCTTTTTTGTCGACTTCATCTTCTTCCTTCTTGTCAATCTCCCTTCTAGCTATTCACTTACGGTGACGACTATTGCATACATCTATCTATTAGCATTTGGCTTTTGCACACGCACATAAAATTTCTTACAATTTGAGTTCAAAAACTTATACTTCACGGTTGGTTAAGTTTTTGTTATTGTTTGGTAACAATTTTGTGTGAAAATCAAATTGATAGTTTTTTCGGTTATATATGAAGCATTGCACATTTCATGAAAAGTTGCAATTGTTGAGAATTAGTGCTACAAATTCACGGGTTGTGACTTCATTTACATTTGATTATTTTTCTATCTTCTTAAAATTATCATAAAAATGTTCAGAGTCATGTTCGCAAGAAAAGTTTGTAGGATCGTTGCCTACAACTCTTAAACGTCGAGGAGGTCTTGGGAGGAACTTAGTCTTGATCTCATCAAACTATCAACGACCCGGTGAGGGCTAATATTACTTAAGGATAACGATCTTAATTTATTACATTAGTAGTTTCCTTTATGTTTTTATCCTCTAGCTTTAACAAATTTCTTGTCATTTCTTAGATATTGTAACATCCGCAACTTCGGGATAGACAATTAAGATATAGTAAGTGATAAGTATTATAATTTGAACCCTCGAATAGGGAAATCGTTAGTCTCGCACGTCGCAGACTACTTCTTATAAGTCTTGTAAGGAATTTATCGACAAACGATAAAACAATATTTTTATAGAAGGTTATTTAGAATAAATAACCCCAACCAAAGTTATAGTAGATGTGACAAGGATTGCGTACATAAAAAGAACTCAGAAATCTGACTTCGCATGAAGAAGTTATGCTTCTTCGAAGTTCTACGATTAAACCGGCACGGCTATGCGCGTCGTTAAAAATAAATTTTAGATAGGTTGCTTATTAGCCTAAGAAATCTAAACGAAATTCATAGTAATAATAAAACCGATAGTGTGCATGTAGAGAACGTCCAAATCTGACTCCGTATGAATAAGTTATGATTTTTTGAAGTTTCAGCGCAGCTGTGTTAGCACAAAAACTGAAAATCAAATCGGTTGATTGTTAGACAAAACAATCTAAACGAGAATTGAAGATCTTGTGATTAGGAGTTCATCAATGTAAACACAGTCGAAAACGAAGTTTGTATGAAGGAGTTATGAGTTTCGTACGAACTTTAACAATCTAAACCGGTCTAAATATGAATTTTTGTAAGAGCAAGAATTAGTTGTTGAGACGTTAATGAAAGTTGTAGAGCTCGTCGAGAGGATTTCGGGGATATAAATAACGTCGAAAACAGAGCTTGTATGCGAAAGTTATGGTCGTCCGAAGATCTGCAAAAATTTACATGTCTCGATGACGTGGCAGCACCAGAGTGCGCCACGTGGCATGGTCGGCAGTCGGCTCTCCCGCAAAGACAAGGTGACGTGGCCCAAGGAGTGTGCGACACGTGGCACCACAAAAATGGTGACACATGGCAGTCTTCTAGAAGCAATGTCGTAGAAGGATCGGAGTGTGACACGTGGCAGGCGGATAGAGGACCAACAAAGCTCGAGGACGCGGCGCGCCTCTTGTCGGTGCGCAGCGCACGCCCGCTGCAGTATATAAACCCCTCGATTTTTCTTCATTTCCACACCAATTTCCAATCTCTTTCTCTCTAACTTACTACTCTTTTTTTAGTCCGGATTTTTGGGTTTCCTTGGGATATTTACCAAGGTTCTTAAGGGGTCTAGGTGTCCACCAAATAGAGCCTTTGGTTTCAGAGCTCTGCCCGCGTAATTTCCCATTTTTCGGTAAAATCCTGTAAGTTAAGATGTACTTATTTTATTTCAACTGTAACTTATATTTATGTTCATAGTCGTTATTATGAACCTATAAATAAGATTTATCAGTGATTCCAAGTTATTATACTGAGTGATCTACTTACGAGAATAATATAAGATGGATTTGGTGAGGTGTTTAGTATGGGATATCCAAACAGTATATTTGGTACTTATATTGCTTAAATTCTTATTTATAGCCAAAAAGGATATTCTCAAAAGAAAAGGACTAGAATTGAAGAATGATGAAACCTTGGAGCTTATTGCTTACATTAAGAGGAAAATAGAGAAGAAAATCGAGCATATTGAAGTTCCCACATCATGGACAACTACATCCCACGACATGGCATTTGGAATCTTCTCAATTAATGCATAATGAAGTCCTCACGACGTGACCACGTGCCAAACCTAGAATCTTCTACGGACATGCACGAAAGCCTTGGTGCATATCGGATCACCATATTTTGGCAAGTATATATTTTGAACTTTAAGTCGAAATCAATGACTTTTGGGCAGAGAGTTGCAATAGAAAAGTGACTAATATCCTTCTAAGAACCCTTGGAAGGCAGAAGAAGATTGGAGATCAAGATTTGAATATTTTTAGAGGAAGAACATCATTAGATCATTCGGTTTGCTAGTTTTTACTATGTCTAATCTAGTTAACTCAGATTCCATGTTTGTTTCTGCTTTAATTATGGGCTAAAAACCTTAGACTTTCGTTTAGTGATGATGAACCCTAATATTATGTGTTATTTTCCCTTTTCATGGATTATTGAAGTTGGTTTAGCTTGTGCTTGATAATTCACTACCTAGTATGTTAAAAGTGAAACATTCCAAAAATACGGTCCAAAAATTACGTTTTCAAATTATTATTAAAACCATAAATCCTCCATACTCATAAATAAAATTGTGTATCATGTATCACAAAGTATCATAATATCTATCACATGTCAAAATCTCATATCAAAATATCAGAGTAAAACTCCCAGGCTGAAGACTGTGGTGTGTGTCATGCGATCATCCCGAGCCCTTCTCCTTGCTAGTGGAAGTACTTGAAACCAAAACGGAAAACTGTAAGCACGAAGCTTAGTGAGTTCCCCAAACTACCATATACCATACAAATAACATGCAACTAGGAGATACGGGCCCCACCCATTCTCATGGAGATTCAGGCCCCGCCCACACTCCTCTGTCTAGGAGATTTGGGCCCCGCCCACACTCCGCTATCTAGGAGGTTCGGGCCTCGCCCACACTCCGCTATCTAGGAGATTCGGGCCCCGCCCACACTCCGTTGTCTAGGAGATTCGGGCCCCGCCCACACTCCACTACTAACATGCATACAAGTATCACACAGACAACAAGTACATCTAGCAATCAATCACATATTGGTGGTTGTCGAGGCCAACAAAATTAATAACCCTAATTATTACACACTAAAATAGTGTATAGTGGTAAAGGGATCGAATCCACGGGGATTGGTTCAATTTAATAACTCTATGAAAAATCTCTTTGTAAAAATACTTGGAAAATGACAATAAATTAAAACTGGGGGTTTTGGTGTTTTGAAATACTTGAAACAAACTAGAATTAACTAAGATTTAAATAGACAATTTCAATAAAAATAAGAGTTTGATGTAAAATCAATAAGAGAAGGATGGTTGACTTAAGGTTCCTCACTTTGACTTTTGATGAACATATCATTAGAATCAAATGGTGCAATACTTGTTTTAAACCCTTAATTTGGCTATAGTAATCCAAGGAGCTTGAGATTACCTAGACTTTTCTTAATTGTTGAAATGGTTAGAGAAGCTCATAACAATTTCCTTAGTTAAAGTCACTAATTCCATTAAGCATGTAATTAGTGAAAGTCAACTAGCATTAAGAACCAAAAAAAAGTCACCAAATCCAAGAGGGGTCAAATGCTTTCACCACCATGTTGGAGAAAATGTTTTTATGATTGTGTGAAGTAAAACTAACACAAGAATCACTTGTTGCTTGCTAATTTGAAGATCCTTTACTTAATCAAGAAATTAGCCAACTAATCACCACAAACACATTTAAACTCATGAATAAAAACATGCAAGTAATGATAAGATGTTAAAACACAAAACATTTTCATAAAGATTCAAACACAAATTCATGGATTCTTCAATATTCAACAAAAGTTCAAAGGATTCAACAAAAGTCAACCAAAATTAGTTTAGCCAAGCATGACTAAACTCAAGGAAACAAAGTTAGTTAAGATTGTACCAAACATTTAGCAAGAATTAAGAGATGAAATAGTGAAGTTCTTGAGGGTTCTTGGCCTTCAAAAATGCTCCAAACTCCAGAGAGAAAAGTATCAAAATCGGACCTCCAAGATTCTGCTAAAGAGGCACACCAACCTTCCCAATATAGAGCTCTAAGTAAAATCTCGAAATTGCCCTTGTCAGGAATCCACGCGGGCCGCGGGGAATCTTACACGGGCCGCGTGACTTCGACTGAAATTTTTGGGCTTCTTCAAGTCTTGGGCCCCCACAGCTAATCCATTGGCCCAGTTCGAATCCAATCTGCTTCTAGCCCATTTCTCTTCAATATTTCTTCAATTTGAGCCCAATTTGTCTCTCCACATCACTCAAAACTTCCGCAAACTCCCCAAACATCGATCTTGCACACTCAAGAATTCTCCCGTGTCTTTCAAATTTAAAGTTCAACACTTCCACGCCTTCAAGCATGAAATCCCCATTTCTCTTCAAGTCCAATCGCCTCCCAAAAATCCTGCTCTGCTAGCCTCCAAAAAATCTGCAATAATGCTCAAGAAACTAGAAAGTACCCGAAATGGTCATAAAAATAACAAAAAGGAAAATATGCATGGAAATTAACTAAAATGCGAATGAAATATGCTAAAATAAACTATAAAAAGAAGTAAATAAAATGAAGCTATCACATATCTATACTCAAATAATACTATAAGCATCGGTCCCCGCCCACTCTAAACTACTATAAGCTTCGGGCCCCGCCCACTCTAAGATACTACATATCACTTATACGGGCCGGCCTTGGTGCCGTAGACCCGTTCATACTGAAGGAAACTCACCTCGCAAGACTGGCTGCTGAAAACTCGAGCGAGGAATCCCTGTCTGCTGCTCCGGAAACTCTCCGGCTATCAATTCCATAATAACACTTAATCAGAATCTGCTAATCCTCTCTTAGGGTAAAATGACCATTTTACCCTTGGTCAAAGTCAAAGTCAAAGTCAAGGTCAAATCCCAGTCAACCCAACTCGTCGAGTTATCTCCCAACTCGGCGAGTCCTTGAATGCTTAAACCCGTGGTCAACTGAGTCAACTCGTCGAGTTCTTGCTGTCATAACAATTGGGACAACCCGCTTCGACTCGTCGAGTCCTTCCCTGGACTCGGCGAGTTCCCTTGTCTGATTGAGCCATCTTAATGGATTAAGCTCCTACCATTCAGATCTATGTTCCTTAGTTCGTTTGCTCACTGGAAAGGCCATTCTAAGGGTAAATTTTCCAACTTTACCCGTTCATAACTCTTCTTAATGGGTTTAGACAAAACCCTAATTCCTTTAGGACATGGATCATGTCCAAAAATCCTTAGAATCTCAAATCCACTCATACAAACCTAGATCTAGGGTTTTAACATATGATGGACACATAAAGTTCTGATCTTTCCTTCCATGCATGGTCTTTTAGGGCTAAAAAGGCCATGAACTTGCTTATAAGCTTGCATGGGGCTTCCATGGTCATAAAGTTTGCACCTTTATGACATGGAACCCTTCCTAGATCCAAGATCTGAGATATAAGCCACTTGGGACATCCCAACCCCAAGGACCAAGGTTCTTGAACCAAAACCTTCATAAAATGGGAACAAATAGATCTAAGAGAAGAATGATCAAGTTGGAAACTTGATTACCAGAAAATGCAGTGAATGAAGTGTAGCTCCTGGATCTACTTCTTCCCCTTTGAACCTTCTATCTTCTTCTCCTTCCACAAGCTTCAAAATGCACAACAACACTCAAAAATGGCAAGAACAAGCTCCAAATCACTCAAGGTGGATTAGGGTTTCGATAATAGGGTTTGGAGGTGATGGAGGTTGGGGTGGAGGCCAGATATGATGTTTAAATAGGGTGCAAACCCTGAAGATTAGGGTTTCCTCCTAATGGACCTACTCGCCAAGTCCAGGCTAGGACTCGTCGAGTAGACCACTTAAACCCCGCGACCAAGCTGGCATCTACTCGATGAGTTAGGGCTACCAACTCGTCGAGTAGCTCTTACAAAAATGAATATATTAATAAATTAAATGCGTACCAGGAATGGGGCGTTACAAAAATTTTCGATCTTTGTTGCTTAGATTTAAAGTTTTGTGTAGTTAAACTGTCGCGGAGATCCTGAAACTCTTGCGCCAACATGCATGAGTCTGGCGGAGATCCTGAAACTCTCGCGCCAACTGCTGCACCTCGATCACTAGTGCAAACTCAGCCCTGAACCTGGTCACAAAATCATCCCATGACATGGAATCAATAGCCTCATCACCAACAGAGCGTCCAACATCCTCCCACCAATCTTGTGCCCTGTCCTTCAGAAGACAGGAAGCAAGTCTGACATTTGCCCCCTCGGGGTAATTGCTGGTGCAGAAAGCGTTATCAACATCGGCTAACAACCGCCTGCTCACTATCGGGTCCTTCTCCCCGTAGTAGTCTGGAGCCCTACATGCCCAGAACTCCCTGAAAGTCAATGAACGCGCCCCTACCAAGGCCACCATCTCATAACGAAATGAGCTCAACCACTCATCCAAAATCTCCAAAATGCCATCCTTGACCGTACCAAATATCACATGAGTATGATCAAGAATGCAACGCGTAATCTCAGACAAAATGAACTCCCTCATCTGATCATCCAACTGCCCGGCTCCAGAACCTGAGCCCGAGCCCTTCCCGGCACCAGAACTGCCTATCGGCCTGCCTCGCAGAGTCACCATACTGAAAATAGACCATATAAACCATAAGAATACGCATCAAAATATATCGAGGGATCACAAACTCTACCAGCTTTCTGGTTTCATCGCATCTCTCCTTGACTCGAGTACAGACGCTCTGATTCCAGTAGTATGGGCCCATACTACCTTCCACATATATCCGTACTTTCCTCAAGGATTGCCTTGAATCTGCCAAGTCACCTTATATCCATACAATTAACCCTCATCAAGATAAGGCTCCCAGCACTAGATCTCATCCTAGGTTTTCCTAGGGCAAACTCCACACCACTCTCCGCCATCAGCTGCAGAAGGAACTCCCGATAACTCCCTCTAACTAGCTCACGAATACAATTACATATCACCAAAACTAGATAATTATTTGAATGAGAGGTCTCACACTACA